ATTTCCAGTCACCATGTATGGCAAGTTACAGAAAGGCATATTTCAATTGAATATCAAGAAAAACTTTCTGTTAGAGCAGTGTAAGAATGGAACCGGTTACATCAGGAGGTGGTGAGCACTCCAACTCTGGAGGCATTCAAGAGAAAGTTAGACAACCATCTCTCAGATAAACTTCAGTTTGGATTCCTGCACTGAGCAGGAAATCGGACTCAATGGCCTTATAGGGGAATCTTGTGAATACTATGGACTGCCAGAAAGAGAACAAGTAGATCCTAGATCAAGTCAAGCCTGAACTATCTTCGAAGGCAAAAATGTTGAAACTGAAGCCACCTTGCTTCAGGCGCATCATGGCAAGGCAGAATTCTCTAGGAAAGATTAAAGGCATCATGAAAAGAGGAAGTCTAAATGTGAGCTGGATTGACTCACTAAAGGAAGCCATGGGGCTGAGTTTACAAGAGTTAGCAGGAGTTTTAAAGACAGGACATTTTGTAGATCACTCACTCATAGGGTCACCATCAGTCAGAGATGACTTGACAGCACAGAACAACAATATTTGCTATGTTTTCTAATTTAGATGATGATGACCATTCAACATGCTAATAATATTTGTTGCTCTGAAAGAATATCAGAATTAATTTCAGAAGATCAGTCTTCTTTAAAGGCTTCATCAAAGCCTTTGACTATGTATATCATGAGAAGCTATGTGTTGTTCTGAAAGAAATGAGTGTGCTTCTGCACTTGATTGTCCTGATACATCAATTGTATTATGGACAAGAAGCTACCATTAAAACAGAATATGGAGAAACAGAATGGTTCCCTGTGGGCAAAGGTGTCAGACAAGGATGCATTTTAAAAATCAGTAATTTAATATAGGTAGATGACACCATCTTCCTGACAGAAGGCAGAAACTACTTTTAGGGAAAATGAAAGAGAAAAGTGCCAAAGCGAGACTCCAGTTGAATATTAAGAAGACAAAGATACCTTATCTCAGTCATCAATCCAAGTGGAGACTATGACCAAGAAATCAGACGAAGACAGACACTAGGAAGGGCAGCTATGAGGGAACTGGAGAAGATCCTCAAGGGTAGAGGTGTGCCACAGGAAACCAATGTGCCAATGGATGCAGGAGAACGGGCTGAGGCTGAACCCGGACAAGATGGAGGTGCTGAGGGTGGGTGTCCCCACAGTGGGGGGTTTGGGAAACTCCCTCTCCTTTGGGGGGGATTGATATGACCTAAATAGAATGTCATAGTGCCACTGAATGGAGGCTTTCATAAACTTATTTTTCAAAAGAAAATGATGTCCCTTTATTTTAACAATTTTGTAGCTGAAAACATTGAGTAAACATAGTTTGTAATGGCTTTAGAATTGTTTTATAAAAACCCAAAGAGTAAAGCGAGACCATGTTTATAACATAGAGTCTATATCTGCCCTATATCTACTGTTTATCTACATAGTCAAAGGCTTTGCTGTAGTCTATAAATAGACTGATCTTCTTCCAGAGAATTTCAGAAGAAGATCCATCTATGCTTTAAAGGCTTCATCAAAGCCTTTGACTATGTATATCATGAGAAGCTATGTGTTGTTCTGAAAGAAATGAGTGTGCTTCTGCACTTGATTGTCCTGATACATCAATTGTATTATGGACAAGAAGCTACCATTAAAACAAAATTGAGAGAAGAATGGTTCCCTGTGGGCAAAGGTGTCAGACAAGGATGCATTTTAAAATCAGTAATTTAATATAGGTAGATGACACCATCTTCCTGACAGAAGGCAGAAACTACTTTTAGGGAAAATGAAAGAGAAAAGTGCCAAAGCAAGACTCCAGTTGAATATTAAGAAGACAAAGATACCTTATCTCAGTCATCAATCCAAGTGGAGACTATGACCAAGAAATCAGACGAAGACAGACACTAGAAAGGGCAGCTATGAAGGATCTGGAGAAGATCCTCAAGCGTAGAGATGTTCCACAGGAAACCAGAACCAAGATTACCTGCTCTCTTGTATTTCCAGTCACCATGTATGGATATGAAAGCTGGACAGTTAAGAAAGCTGACAGGGAAAAAATATTCATTTGAAAAGTGCTGGAGGAGGGGAATCTTGTGAATACTATGGACTGCCAGAAAGAGAACAAGTAGATCCTAGATCAAGTCAAGCTTGAACTATCTTCGAAGGCAAAAATGTTGAAACTGAAGCCACCTTGCTTCAGGCGCATCATGGCAAGGCAGAATTCTCTAGGAAAGATTAAAGGCATCATGAAAAGAGGAAGTCTAAATGTGAGCTGGATTGACTCACTAAAGGAAGCCATGGGGCTGAGTTTACAAGAGTTAGCAGGAGTTTTAAAGACAGGACATTTTGTAGATCACTCACTCATAGGGTCACCATCAGTCAGAGATGACTTGACAGCACAGAACAACAATATTTGCTATGTTTTCTAATTTAGATGATGATGACCATTCAACATGCTAATAATATTTGTTGCTCTGAAAGAATATCAGAATTAAGGCCATCATAACTGTTTAGTTTTACTTTATTTTTCTAAATTTGTGAGTGGTATAAATAATGGTTGAAATCCTCTTGCCTAACTGCACAAATGGCGTAACTTTTGGAAGCAATTTGCTGCAAGTAAGATATCACCTTAGACATTATCAGTTCCATGCTGAATCATACAACTCAGTGTTTGACATATGGTCCACAGTGATTTCTTGACTTGGAGTAGTTGGCTTCTAAAATTTATGCCACTTATGCAACCCCAGCATAACTAGGGGGAAAAAAGGACTTGAGCCAATAAATAAAACCAAATGTGTGTCAATCATACGTCTTCCCAAATCTGTTGCAATATAAAGTATGTTCATTAAAAATAACTACCCTGAGCTCCATCACAGGTATGATGTAGCCAATGATAGGCCTCCACAGGTAGGACACTCTTCTGTATGAATCCATGTGCTTATAAGAAACAGGCTCACATCTAAAATTCAGTGCACTGCGCACAATGCAAAGAACGACGGCCAGTGCCCTGTGAAGGCCCTGATGGCGGGCGGGGGTGTGCAATTCTGAACATAATTGCTCTGTTCATATTCTGACTGGCTATTCCTACTTGTGATATTTGCGTGCTCAGAATTGAATGAATATGGATCATATTATATGTATACTAAACAGTAAGTCATTCGACTTTTCTTGAGATGCATTATATATACTCGGAAACTGGCAGACCTTGTCGAAGAAGTGTGAACACTGCCATTCCCACCTGTGTCACGAAGCCTCTGTCTCCATATCTTTTCCTCTTAATAGCCTATTCAAAAGCTTCCTGGCTGAAATCCTATTGCCAGAACTGTGCTGCACAACATGGATTATGTCATCCCAGTGCTGCTGCCAGGACAACCGGAAGCAATTTTCCAGCTTTAAATTGTTCCTCCTCGTGTTTGTGGCTCCTGAGGATAGCCCCAAGATTAAGAAAATCCCTGGGGATTCTTGAAACCTGGGGGTGGGGGTGGGGGCTCTGAGATGCTTTTTATTGCCTCAAAAGATAATATTAACCACGTTGTGCAGCAAGATTTCAGCCATAATGTTACACACGTTGTTACTTCTGCAATATTTCAGGGGGATGGATGTAAATCTCCTCCAACTGCAGTTTTACATCAAAAGGGGATGAACATGTGTAATCTAGTTCAGCTCTCCACTCCTGTCATTAGGAATAGCAAAATATTTTAAGGCATCTTCACTTTTTTGCTGCTCATCAGAGGAAATACTGTAAAATCTATATTAATAGATATTGCTTTTAAATTAGTAAAGGTAAAGGTTCCCCTTGACAATTTTTGTCCGGTCGTGTTCGACTCTAGGGGGCGGTGCTCATCCCCGTTTCCAAGCCATAGAGCCAGCGTTTGTCCGAAGACAATCTTCCGTGGTCGCATGGCCAGTGCGACTTAGACACGGAACGCTGTTACCTTCCCACCAAGGTGGTCCCTATTTATCTACTTGCATTTGCGTGCTTTCAAACTGCTAGGTTGGCGGGAGCTGGGACAAGCGACGGGCGCTCACTCCGTCGCGTGGATTCGATCTTACGAGTGCTGGTCTTCTGACCCTGCAGCACAGGCTTCTGCGGTTTAGCCCACAGCGCCACCACGTCCCTTTTAAATTAGATGATGACAAATTTAGTTAGGAACACCTGTAGGGGCAATCTCCCAATTTTTCCATTTCTATTTTTAATTTTTAAAAAGGTTATTTCAATACATATTAAACATTTTGACTCCATTGGTGAAAATATCTTTATTGCTTGTTATTAACAGCAGAAAAAATATTAAGGTAACCGTTAATATATATATGTACTGTACCTTGGTTGTTGAGTTCTCAGGTAATATACAAATCCTGGCTTATCTTTGTCAGAGGAATGAGAGAATTAAAATGAGAATATGAAATGGAAAAACTAAACATATTTTAGTTAATCCATTAATTGGGTGAAATCCTGTTCCAGATGGCATAACTTTTGGAAGCAAATTGCCTTAGGCTAAGAAACACCTGTTGGGTATTGAGATGCATGGTTCAGTGTACAACAGACAAAGTATATACAGATTTCTTAACTTAAAGCAATTCACTTCTAAAACTTGTGCCGTTTGCATTAACTGCACAACTAGAGTTCATCCATTAAAATGACATTCTACAATTGTTGTTGTTGTTGTTGTTGTTGTTGTTAAAGGGCATGAAGCCAGCAGGCTTATTTTGTTGGTATTGTGTGACAATTTGTTTGGCTATTGTTTCTGTATTGGGCACTGCTATTTACCATGTTGGGTTCTCTAGTGAGCTTTTAAAAAAAACAAGAACATTATGTAAATGTTTCTCAGAAATGTTTGCTTTCTGGAGGTTCATTTATTTTGGTCAGGTTTTAGCTCAAGCTCATTTGCTAATATATTGCAGACATTCCAAATATATTTTGTGGTGCTTTTCTTACCTGATACTTGAAACACAAGTGTTATAATTAATAATTACTTTTTTTACAACTTTAGGTGAGCGAAATAGGCGAAGAAGGTGTCAGGTAGCTTTCAGCTACATGCCTCAGAATGAAGATGAACTGGAATTAAAAGTTGGAGACATCATTGAAGTGGTGGGAGAAGTAAGTATGCGGGATCTAAAGTTCATACTTCTTTTGTTGTCAGTTTGTGTCAGAGTATATTTGGAAAGTGTAGGGGTGAGGAATGATCCTGTAAGTGCCATTTTTGCACCTATAGTCAACACTACTGAAATTCGACAAGTCGCCAAAAATGGCAAAATTTAATAGCAAATCATTAAAGGTTGTTAAAATTACAAACACTCGTTTACACGTGTTTATTGTTCTAATGGCTTTTTCAAGTTCACTTCCAAAGTTCCTCACCCTTTATATGGGAAATTTGTATGAAACAAGACTTGACAAAGTGTACCCTGAAAGCCACATGCAGCTTTCCAAGAGACCCCCACAGCCCTCATCGGAAAGATTTTTTTTGACTTTCAAAAATATTGTTTTGCATGAAGGGGTCTCCAGGACTCCAAAGCCCCCAAAAGTGATCCAGACAAAACTATAGAAAGTGACATACAGTAACGACCTGTTTGAAGCCCCCCCCCCTGGCCATTTGGCTATTTCTAGCTGTAGCGTACCACATGAGGACTGTTCAGGCTGAAAAGTTGGTGTCAGCCCTGCCAAATGTGCCAACCCCAATAAAGAGCCCCTTTTCACTCTCTAGTTCTAGACACTTGTGAAAATAACTACAGATATGTTGAAGGAAGTGATTTGAATGACTTGAAAATCTTTGCCCATTCCAATAACTATTCCATTTTGCAGACAATTCTAGAGTATATGTACAGTAGAATACAGCTGTGGGAATCACACAGTTCATCGATGGTGTAGTCCCTCCCAAGTCGTATCTGAAGCCTCTGGGCTAAAGTCAGTTTCCTGCTGCTCTTCCCATTGTCAGAAACCTTTTGGGTGGAGAATTGTGTCTCCAGAAACCTCCAAGGGGGGGCAGCCCTCCCATTAAAAATGGTGTTTCACAATGATACCTCCTTTTGGCCAATTGCTGTCATAATTTCCTGAAAATTGGAAATGACATTCCAGTCATTTCCGAGCTTATTGAAAGAGGCCAGTATGGCCAGCAGATATCAAGAGGGTCTCTAAAATGGCCCCTGGACATTCTGCAATCATCCACTCATTGTGTAAGCATCCAAATTTCCAGGAGAGGAAAGATAAGGAAGGCAGATTCCTCTGAGTTAATCAAAATCTTGCATTTACAGCAGCAGACAGAATCTAGTCCTTCATGTCTTCTCTTTTGGCAATTGTTTGAAATCTTTTGAGATTGGATTTGCATCAGAGAAGCATTTACTGACAGACTATTTCCCCCTTCTTATAAAAATCAAGAATAATTAAAGTCTGGTTTGCCCATAGCCTACTCATTGTGTCTATTTATTTCACTTGAAACAGGAACTCTGGCTCATTACCATGTGGGTAGCAGGCCAGCCCAGAGCAACCCAGTAAACAATTGTATATCTTTTCTCTCTGCCCACCCCCGTAGGCTTTTTTGTCATCCTAGAAAACAAAATACATTGGAGATAAAAAAAACCCTGAAATATTTCTTTTGGCAACTATGTGCAGTTAAATAGGAAAACAGTGGGATGGTGTTACTTAAAAAGCAGCAAACCATTTAAAATTCGTCCAGCTGAATTGCATGCATAATACAAGGACTAAGAAACAAATTAAGTTAAGAGCTCTTTCCCTTGCTACAAGAGATTTTGCTTTTTCTTTTGTTTCTTTGAAGGCAAGCATATTCTCTCTGAGCTTGGATACAGAACAGTCTTCTATACTTGTATGCAGTAATTGTAAAATTGCTAATCTAATGATGGATTTTACTGGGCACATATATCTGGCAGGAGACTGCTTTCATTAATAATACATTTTCATTTGCAAACCTTTATTGGCTTAAATGAATTGCATCATTTAAAACCATATGGCACAAGGATTTGCCCAATCGGAACAGCTAAATTTGCTTTGTGTGTGGCTTTAATGCTTTATAATTCATATATCTTTTAGTACCTTTAATTACAGTTGTTTAATTATAATAATATATGGACACACATCTATATTCATTTGCTATTAGAATGTCAATATCTGTAAGAGTCTAGATAGCAAAGGTTCCTTTCTAAATAGCTCAGAAATGAGAAATCAAAGAAGGAAAAAGGTTATAGAAGAAGACAGTGGAAAATATATGCTTTCAGTTTAATTACTGATTTAAGCTTAGTTACTGATTTAGGCTTCTAGTATAGGTTAATTCTTCTCATTATAGAGGACTGGAATGCTAAAGTAGGGAGTCAAGAAATAAAAGGAACAACAGGTAAGTTTGACCTTGGAGTTCAAAACAAAGCAGGGCAAAGGCTAATAGAGTTTTGTCAAGAGAACAAGCTGGTCATCACAAACGCTCTTTTCCAACAAAACAAGAGGCGACTCTACACATGGACATCACCAGATGGGCAATACCGAAATCAGATTGATTTATGTTCTCTGCAGCCAGATGGAGAAACCCTAAACAGTCAGCAAAAACAAGACCTGGAGCTGATTGTGGTTCTGATCATCAGCTTCTTATAGCAAAATTCAAGCTTAAATTGAAGAGAGTAGGAAAAAACACTGGGCTAGTTAGGCGTAATCTAAACCAAATCCCTTATGAAGACACAGTGAAAGTGAAGAACAGATTTGGTGGACAGAATGCACGAAAAACTATGGATGGAGGCTCATAACACTGTACAGGAGGCAGCAACAAAAACCATCCCAAAGAAAAGGAAATGCAAGAAAGCAAAGTGGCTGTCCAACGAGGCCTTACAAATAGCAGAGAAGAGAAGGGAAACAAAATGCAAGGGAGATAGGGAAAGTTACAGAAAATTGAATGCAGACTTCCAAAGAATAGCAAGGAGAGACAAGAGGGCCTTCTTAAATCAACAGTGCAAATAAATAGAGGAAAATAATAGAAAAGGAAAAATCAGAGATCTGTTCAAAAAATTTTGAGATATTAAAGTAAGATTTTGTGCAAAGATGGACATGATAAAGAACAAAAATTGTAGGGAGCTAACAGAAGCAGACATCAAGAAGAGGTGGCAAGAATACACAGAGGAATTATACCAGAAAGATCTGGATGTCCCAGGCAACCCAGATAGTGTGGTTGCTGACTTTGAGCCAGACATCCTGGAGAGTGAAGTCAAGTGGGCCTTAGAAAGCATGGCTAACAACAAGGCCAGTGTGAAGTACTTCCAGAATTACAAGCTGGATTCCGAAGGGGCAGAGGAAATAGAGACCAAATTGCTAACATACGCTGGAATATGAAGAAAGCTAGAGAGTTCCAGAAAAACATCTACTTCTGCTTCATTAACTACACAAAAGCCTTTGACTGAGTGGACCACTACAAACTATGGCAAGTTCTTAAAGAAATGGAGTGCATGACCACCTTGTCTATCTCCTGAGAAATCTGTATGTGGGACAGGAAGCAACAGTTAGAACTGGATATAAAACAAATGATTTGTTCAAAATTGGGAAAGGAGTACAACAAGGCTATATATTGTCTCCCTGCTTATTTAACTTATATGCAGAATACATTGCGCGAAATGCTGGACTGGAGGAATCCCAAACCAGAATTAAGATTGCAGGAAGAAATATCAACAACCTCAGATACGCAGATGACACCACTCTGCTGGCAGAAAGTTAGGGGGAATTAAAGAACCTCTCTTAATGAGGGTGAAAGATGAGAGTGCAAAAAATGGTATGGAGCTCAACATCAAAAAACCTAAGATCATGGCCACTGGTCCCATTACCTCCTGGCAAATAGAAGGGGACGAGATGAAGGCAGTGAAAGATTTTACCTTCTTGGGCTCTATGATCACTGCAGATGGTGACAGCAGCCATAAAATTAAAAGATCCCTGCTTCTTGGGAGGAGAGTGATGACAAACCAAGACAGCGTCTTAAAAAGCAGAGACATCACCTTGTCGAACAAGGTCCGCATAGTCAAAGCTATGGTTTTTCCTGTCGTGATGTATGGAAGTGAGAGTTGGACCATAAAGAAGGCTGACGGCCGAAGAATTGATGCTTTTGAATTGTAGTGCTGGAGGAGACTCTTGAGAGTCACCTGGACTGCAAAGAGAACAAACCTATCCACTTTGAAGGAAATCAACTCAGTGCTCACTGGAAGGACAGATCCTGAAGCTGAGGCTCCAATACTTTGGCTATCTCATGAGAAGAGAAGACTCCCTGGAAAAGACCCAGCTGGGAGTGTGAGGGCAAGAGGAGGAGACAACAGAGGATGAGAAAGACCCAGTTGGGAGTGTGAGGGCAAGAGGAGAAGGAGACAACAGAGGATGAGATGGTTGGACAGTGTCATCGAAGCTACCAACATCAGTTTGACTGAACTCGGGGAGGCAGTGGAAGACAGGAGGGGCTGGTGTGCTCTAGTCCATCAGGTCACGAAGAGTCGGACATGACTTAAAAACTAAACAACAACAACAAAATAGATTAAGGTTGGGAGTGTGAGGGCAAGAGGAGAAGGAGACAACAGAGGATGAGATGGTTGGACAGTGTCATCGAAGCTACCAACATCAGTTTGACTGAACTCGGGGAGGCAGTGGAAGACAGGAGGGGCTGGTGTGCTCTAGTCCATCAGGTCACGAAGAGTCGGACATGACTTAAAAACTAAACAACAACAACAAAATAGATTAAGGACTGAAGTGGTGAAGCCAAAAACTCCATGGTAGCGCATGGTCTGAGGTAATATAAATCAAAAGAGATCGTATCATCTTGCTTTCCTGGAGGTAGTGAAGATGTAAAGAATAATGAGGGAGGTGTGTGACAGCCGGGAAGCAGCAGCATTAAAAAACATTACAATCAATATTGACAACAATTTCAAGAAAGAACCATGGCTTATGCCTGAACAAAAGAGTAGATGTCCCACTGATCTTGTTTTTATAGCTGTCTAAGACTTCAGACATGATGGGTTATGAACCTGTAGATGACTGCATGGCTGCATACTCTTCCCTTTGCCCACCATTCACCCCTGAAGCACTAGATGGGTGGTTTGTGTCTTTCTTAACAATCAGCCAGTCATTCTGAGCTTGTTCTGCCTGCCTGCCTGCCTCACTCCCCCACTGTCTCTCTGTATGTGTTTTATTTCTCAAACATCTGATGTGAAATACTCAGAAATGGGGGGGCATGGAATATAGAATCCATCTACTAGAAGTCTAGCATCTTCTCTGTGACTGATTGGGAAAGCTGACTGTAAAGATGTGAGCCAGTCGGTGTCTAGAACAGAAGAACAATTAACACCTTCATTTGACCTCCTGGACTTTAAAGAGGGACTGAGAGGGAACGGACACTTCCAATCTTACCTCAAATGAGACATTAAAAGCCTGTCCACTTCTTTCCTTGTAGTCATGAAAATTAAAGCTGTGCGGAGGAAGGTTCTTTTGTTTTGGGTAATTACGAAAGGAGATTAAGCTTTTGATTATGACAGGTCTAGAGTAGCTCTTTTAATGTATAAAAGGGGTTAGGAAACTGATTATAGACAGCCTAACCTATCTCTAAGGAGAAAGTGCTTTGCTCATTTGCTGTCCTACAAAGCCATGGAGGTAAGGACGTGCTCTGTGCATGTGCCAGAACTGCACTACTGTTCTATTCAGATGTTAGTATTAGGTAGTCTATCTTAGCTCTTGTTGTTTTCTGGTGTTTTTCTCTTGAATGGCCTTCAGACTGTCTCTATCTTGCTCCAATATTTTGGGAAACGTTTTGGAAACTTTTTGGAATGTTTGTCTTTTAACTTTTTAAACCTTTCCCTCTGTTTTAATAAAATACAAAAAAATTCAAGTAGCAATCTGGATTTTTGGCTTAGAAGGTTGGTACTAAAACTAGGTATTGCCGTGACCAAGATCATTGGTGTTTGCGTGGGTGTGGTAGCAGCTTTATCCTTGCAAAAAAGGCACCTTGCTTTTAGCCTTTGGACTTTGTTTCTAGAGGCATTGCCATATCTTAGAGGATGGTATTGTGTGGGAACAATATAGTTCTATTCAGGCCTCATAGCCTTCACTGCATCAGCCACCCCAGGATAGGCAAGTGGGGTATGGAGGGGGGCGACCCAATACCATCAGATCTTAGTAGAAACGTTTTAGTTAAAGAGACCTGTAGGAGGGAAAAGGATTATTAACTGGACATGAATCTCATGATCTTGAAAATTCCTCACTGAGATTTCTCATCCTGCGAAGTTACCCTATTTAAAAAGTATACAGTGGTGCCTCAACTCGCGAACATCCCAACATACAACCATTTCAAGTTACGACCAGCTCCAGCCACAAAATTTTGCTTCAGCTTGCGGCTAAAGCTTCTAGTTACGAACAGAAGAAGGCAGGGGGAAAAGGCAGGGAATTCAAATTGCTAACGGTTGGTAGGCGAAGAGGCTGCTTCTTTGTAGCTCTTTTGCTCCAGCGGTTAGAGTGAGTGCGATCGGAGGAGGCTTCGGACTGCCTGGTAAGGTAAGGTGCTGCTTTCTGCTTTTAAAAAACTGTTCTGGATGGGTTTGGCAGTGTGGTTTTGGACTGGGTGATGGGATTATGTTTCTATGCTGTTATGGGTCTTGCAGGATTTGTTTGTTTTTTGGTGTTTTTCCCCCCATTTCCAATGGGTCTTGCAGGATTTGTTTGCTTTTTGGGTTTTTTCCCCAATTTCCAATGGGTCTTACAGGGTTTGTTTGCTTTTGGGGGTTTTCTCCCCATTTCCGATATTTCTTGTGGGGTTTGTTTGCTTTTGGGTCCCCCCCCCATTTCCAATGCGTCTTGCACAGTTTGTTTGCTTTCTGCTTTGTTTTGGTTTTGCATTTCCGAAGGGTCTTGCACGGTTTGTTTGCTTTTCTATCCCTCCCCCTTTGGCCGGAACGGATTAATTGCATTTCTGATGGATCTTGCAGTGTTTTTTGTTTTGTTTTGTTTTTTCTTTGTTTTGTTTTGTTTTCTTTTGATTATTTTTTTTCCTTTGGCCGGAACGGATTAATTACATTTCAATGCATTCCTATGGGAAATGGTGCTTTGACTTACAACCATTTCAAGTTACGACCGGAGTTCCGGAACCAATTAAGTTCGTAATCTGAGGCACCACTGTACTTTACACCCCTAACTACTGTTGGCATATCAGCCTGTGTTCTTTGGGTAAATAACCACCGTGCCCCTAAATATTAGCATGACAGAGTGTGTTTTAAATTGTCCCTACTGCAGTTTCACCCATATTTTTATGCACAGAAGTTAGAAACACAAAGATTAGAACAGTAAGTTTTCTAAGCTATAAATGAATAATTAAGTTGGCATGCTGCCTATACTGTTAATATTCAACAATATGAGTAACGAAATGGGATAATGACTATGAAAATTAGGCAGGCTGATATATAGTGCTTGTCAGAGTAGCAAAGGTTTTTGAAGAAGAAATAAGAACTCATTATAATAGCAGGTAGCTGGCTGGTTGGGGAATTAATGGTCTGACATGTTTTGACATTGAAAGTTTCTCAAGTTTCATACCTACTTTATGCTTATAAGCCTTGGAATTGTTACACTGACCTAATGGCAGTGGGTTGGTGATTGTTATCCATAAGCTAGGTGGCAGAAGTACATAATAAAATAAATACATTGATTTTGATCAATGGTAGTTCAGCTCTTTTACCAGAGCTTGGAAATTTACTTTTTCAAACAAAAACAAAAGAAGACTTAAAAATTAAGAAGGCAAAAGTGATGTGGCACCTTAAAGACTTTACTGCTATATTGTAATGTGAGCTTTTGTGGACAAGTCCACTTCCTCAGATATAAGAGTAGGACTACTTTTTTCAAAGTAATTAGTCATGTCACAACATCAAGGCCCTGTGAATAATTACAAATATAGCTACAGTTTTAAAAAAACTTATTATTTATATTTTTCAAGAGCATTTACAATGAGTGCTTTTTAATTACTTTAAAAGAAATCACCTGAATGCTATAAACTACTGGTCTGTGATATGAAAAACACCCTCCTCCCATCCACCTCATCTTAATGCTCTCAACAGAACAGGAGGCAACAGTGTTAAACATGCAACACTTCAAATATGTGACTTCCACTATGGAGTTGTGGGTGGGTGTGGATGCGAATAGTTTTACTGTATACAATTTCTGTTAAAAACTCAAATTCCTTTTTTTAAATTCTTTTTAAAAATTCTTTTTGCTAGGAGGATCCCAGCCCCCATGTTACAGACTGATTTTTCACATACTGAAACTGTCCTCTTCTGTCACTTTTCTGTGAACGCGCAATGTCTGATGGATGGAAATTATTAAAATGTCGATGGCATCCTTAGCTGATATAGCTGAATGAGTCATTCCTTCCTGTCACAATGTAACCCAAGGGCATTTGGTATTTAGGGGCTGTCATTTCCTAGCATGGGGATGCCATTCCGTATGGAATACATTTACATAGGAGGAACTTAATCATTCTGCATGACACATATGCTTTCTGCTATGGGTATTTTAGAAAATAATTCATTAGTACTTTCTAGCAGGTACAATTTCTATGCTGTCCCATCAAATTCATCGTCGTTAGTTATATACACTCCAAGTTCCTAGGTTTTTAATACAGGAAAAGTGGAATATTCAAATGCAGGAAAAAAACACAAAACTGACAAATTTGCCCATTTCTGTTTGATTGACATGTTTGCCCCTTTCTCTCACATCACATAGATGCTGTATTCCAAGGTGCAGTGCCATGTGCCTCTGTCTCCCTTGGCTTGAGGTTCAGTCGTCAGTCTCATGAAACCAACAATAAGTCACAGATTCAGAGAAAACATTGCTATTGACTTTGGTGATCGATAATAATAATAGATAAATGAAGGATGCTAAAAAAAATTGATGCAGTTCTGTATATGTAATGTGAAGCTGCAGCAACATTAAGGGAAAGCACATAAGAGAAGAAGCACTATCCACAGAGAACCACTATCCACCACATGTGTGCTGTGAAATGGGAGAAATGGGAATCCCACAGGTGATCATGCAGTCTGATTGTGCATCCAGATTGCCTGAGTATAACACCCAGCACACTTACACTGGCATGACTTTCCAATATACAAAAACAAACAGTATTTAAGCTAAAGTGTCTTAAAGTGACTGATAATTGTGCTGGATAGAAGCAAAACCATCATAAAGAGGTGCCACCTATCCCAAAACGTTGCAGGCAGTCTTGAGGGATTTGAAAATGAAGCACAGGTTGTGATTATGTAGTTAATGCCAATGAGAGGTGTGCAAATGTAAGCAATACATAACCTTATTCTAAACAATGTTCCCAGGTAGAATTAACCTTAAGTAAGTCAGGGTGTTTGGTTTTCCTTTCTTGGCACAGGTAGAAGAAGGCTGGTGGGAAGGAGTTCTCAATGGAAAGACTGGCATGTTTCCTTCCAACTTCATAAAGGAACTATCTGATCCTGATGAAGCTAGAACTGTCCAAGAGGAGCAACTAATAAAACCAAGTAAGTGTACAGTCATACACTGTCCTTACAATATTCTTAGCTTTCTAGTTATTTTCCATGTCTGAATACACTTTTACATAGTACTCATTTTCAGGAAGGTTGGCTTTCTTTCCTTGCAGGAGGTGTGGCTATGGTAGAGCTAGCTTAACAATCTGCAAACGAGAGTTTCCTGCTAACTTTCTTCTTTTTGCTGATTTCCTCCTCATTTGCTTTTTTGCCTCCCAGCTGCTCTAGCACATCAGCACTGGCACAAAGCCTTTAAAAAAAATTATTTAGAGACAAGCGGATGGTCAGATGAGTGGTACTGGCCTCCACCAAGTGCCTCTTTGCTTCCTCTTTCCCCATCTTAAACTAGGATTCTGAGAGAGCTACCTTCTGGTCACCTATTGCCTTCGCTCAAGCAATCACACCATCTGGATCAATATGAATGCATTCAGTTCTTTTTTTAAAAAAAAGCCACAGCAATAGAAAGAAGAATTATGGACTGGGGGTAAAATTCCAGGCTGGCCTGTATGTCATGCAACCAACAAATCAGTCTGACCCAATACTGGGGCATTTTCTGCATTATTTGTCAATGTAGATGCACCCTCATCCAATTATAATTTGGTGTTACATTTGATCCTGGAAAGTCTTGAATGTTAATTCAGAAAGTTGAATTTTAAAATGGGGAAAGGAGCCCCCAGTTACAGTGGTCAGTTTTGGAGAACACGATGAGCAAAACTTCCATGAATTCTCTGGAATGGTGGCTTACCGTGATGTCCAATTGTGATTACATTTTGGGGCATGTTAAGCTTACATCAGCTGTAATTGGTGCCTTATTTTTTTTTTACTTCTGCAATATTGATGAATAATCAAACTTTTATTTAGTAAGAACTTCCCATTCATAATGGAATGACGCCCTCTTTTTCAGAAGTGATGCTTCTGCAAAATTACTTGTTTTGGACAGTAGCAGTGTTTTACCCATGGATTTTTTTTGGGGGGGGGAGGGAAATAGTTTTAGCTTATTATTCATAGTGGATCCTCTGCCTATTTGTTGGCTTCAATAATTCTGTAATGCCAGTTGTGCTTTAAAAATTTATGCTTATTTCTACCTCCCACAAATTGTTTCTTTAGAAATAGAATGTGTGCTATATATAACTATTAAAATTATGAATATACATATTATTTTAGGTTGCAATTGAATTTGTACAGTTCGCTCTGATATTATGTGTTAATTGTTCAGTTTTCTTAATGAGAGAGATATAAAAATGCTCATGGGGGTGGGGAGTTATCTTCTTTGACCTAAAAATTCAGGCTTATCTTTGTTTCTCATGCTTTTTATACTGGCTTAGAGACATTTGAAGCCATGGGTCTTTTCTTCTTGCTGGTTTGTTGTCCTTTTCCCTCTATTAGCAGTGCCCTGCGCTACCATCCAAGTTTAGGATACATCACTGACATTCTTGTTCCCAGTACTGTATGTGTCTCCCTGTCTTCTGGAGTATCTTCACTTTCCTTGGCAGGATTTAGTTTGAAGCCCCCCTGGCCAGGATGGGGAGGTTTCTAGCAAATATGTTCTTTGCAGACCATGTAAGGTGCAGCCCTTACTTGCCAAGAGTCCTTTTTCATGGAAATGTTGACCCTAGCCCAAGAAGCCAAACTTTTCCTGATGACACCAGCTGAATTTTCAGAAGGAACATTTGCGCTCTCTGGGTAGGGGAGTTTGGGTTTGTTTGTTCTAGTTCTGCCTAGCCTGTGGCAGCACCATTAGAACATTTAGCTGCCAAGCACAAAGAAAAATCTATGTTTACCTCTTTTTTTGCTAGAAATCATGAGATAAAATATACTGTATTTTGTTGTACATTTGGTAACATAAATCATTAGCGAAAATTCATCCTGTTTGAAATGCATACAGTGAAAGCATAGACTATTGGAATTCTTGTCCTATTGCTTTCAGTACAGAGCAAAATTAAAAACTCTTCCTCTCCTTTCTTTTACCATTATTCGATTCTCCTATCCCCCTTTTTTGTTCTGGTTTCCCTTTCTTTCATTCTGCTGTCAGGAAAGTCTGCCTTTGAAGGGACAATTCTGTATAAGGTGGCACCAACAAAGATTGACAGCTACAGACGCTATAACAGTGAGTTAATTAAAAGAAAAAGAAGGAATGCTAAAACGAGGCTGCTCCTTCAATTCTGTATGGTTTTGTCTGCTATTGAACTAATGGCTGCTGATTGCACTTGGTCTTGGCTACTCTGCATATTTGTCTGTGAGCTGAAATTGGTCTAGTTTGCTTCTAGTTTGACAGCACATATGTATTATGAATGTATACTGTTACCTTTCAGCATGCATATGTGTGTGCATATGTGCGCAGTGCTGAGAAATGCTCAGAAAGATATGGAACTGTGTTGTTTTAATTTCATTTCTTGCTTTCATCATGATGTTCGTATAGGCTTGCATCTTGGAGGAGGGCTGTTGGTGACTAATAGAACACATGTCCTAGACTTGGTTTTCTGTGCCCAGTTTAAATGATATTTGGTTGTAAGTGCTTTCAATCTAACTTGACATCTAGGGTGATCACTAACATTTAGAACAGATAGTGCAAGACCAGCTAGTCTGTTTTCTGTCACAGAATAAGGCAGCTCCTTATCCCTGAGGAAATAGGTTGGGGGATGTTTAAAAGCAAAATGTTCTTAAATATTGAAAAGAACATAATGGAATAGAATGAATTATTTCTCAAGTCTATTTATGAGGGTTGGCTACCAAACAAAGAATTGTTTTAATTTTAATTCTGCCTACTTTCTTAATAATGAACATCTCTGGCACTCATCATTATTTTAAGCAATGCCATATGTCATGTTTAAATTCAGTCAGCTCTCTAAGCTATTCTGTAAAAGCTGAACTACCCATTTGGTAAAAGCCCTGTTTGGGCATTCCCATGCTAAGAAGGGAGCAGAAATATGCTGGGAGGGAAACAGGAGATAAGCATGCTAGCTTTACCCGCAACCCATGAAGGGAAACCTCCTCTGTCTATTGAAATGGTTGAATCCTGAGAAAACAAGAATATTTGCCTAGGGCTAAAACTCTGTGTCTCAGAATCTTGGTTTGCATTAAGCAGTTGTAAGGGAGGGTAGAGGAACAGTGTGCAAAACAGTGAAATAAAACCAGCAGGTGAGAATCTAGTTTGGATTGTATTGTTAGAGATGGAAAAGACACCAGCATTAACTGATCTTTTTTAAAAAAGAAAGAAATATATCCATACTGTATGTTACTCTTTATCTTACATAATAGTTGCCAAAGAACAAGGAGCTACATTTATTAAGTACAAGAACTGTTAGCCAAAATCTTAGCATAGTTGCTTAGCATAGTTTATTCAGTGGGCCAACTCTGGTGACTTAGTATTTTGGCCACTATGAAAAAGAAGCATACTGTATATATTTGCAAGGAAATGACAAAACATTTGAACAAAAGATATATATGTTCCTGAATATTATTGGTAGACCTAAATCTTGGAATATTTTTTAATGTTCTGGAATACATACATTTTTAAAATGTTTGTTCTAATTCATGAAATCTTTGCAGGTTCCCTTACAAAAGGGTTTTGTTTACTAAAACTCTCAGATATGATGACTGAAAATAGAATGCAAAGAACTGTAGGTTGAACTTATAAGTGCTATCTTAAGAAGTTCTTCTCTCTGCTCTGCTTTTCTTGCAAATTTCCAAGTTAATCAGTCCAATGTTAACCTGATTTGGGAATTTTCACCATTACCACCATATCATCAGTTATTAAAGCACTATAATCTTTCTTGAGGAAGTATTAGTAAATGAGTATTTCTTCTTGTCAGGATCTGACTGAACAAATACTTGATTTTAGTGAATTTATTTCTATGTCTTTTGTTAATTATTTTTATCCACATTCCACTGTATTGTGTAGCACATCAATTTGTATGAGTCAACGTGCAAAAATCTTACCTTGAGTTATCTTTCCCTTAGTAGTAAATTATATGAGCTAATCAGGAGGTGGTTGATATGTGAATGGCTTTTGGTTCACCTGCATAAAGGGTATTTTGCTCCACAGCTGCTGGGTTTGTGTAAAATAAAATGATCAAAGTCAGAATGTGTTGATCTCTCTTGCAAGTAACTTAACCAAGTTGGCCTTTGTTGCTCTTCTTTATTAAGTCCAGGAATGTTTTTTCTGTCATACATATTTGTCCTCAGGGGAAGAACAGTAGATAAGTATCAGAGGAAATACAGGGATCCCACATTTAGTCATTGTAATTTCCAGATAAAAGTGAGTGTTAGCAGGTAATGAGAAAGATTCTTGAAACAAGCCATAAACTTTAGTTAGCAAATTCTGGGCAAATGAGTCAAGAGTTTTCATTACAGCACTCTGTATGCTTATACAAAAACAGAGGAGAAAAGTAGTATGTTCTGTTTCCTACCCCACAGTTCTTCCACATACACACTTAGAAGAAAAATCCACACATAAACTCTATCTGTAGTTTTATAGGTTATTGTTTCCTGGCTGCTAGATCAGGTGAGAGAAAATTTGTTAGTTGCGCTGATATTTCTTTTTTATTAAGCCAGAGTTTGTAATGCTTGGTGTTTTGGCAGAGAACAGTATTAGTCCATCTGCAGTAGAAGAAATTATTTTGTAAAAACGTTGCTCTAAATTAAGCCCCATACGAGGCGATGAAAATAACATTAATTGTAACAGAAAATGACATAATAACTGAGTGAGATTTTCTTTTCATTCCAGTCTTCCGTTAATTAATTGTGTTCCTCTTTATTGGAAAACAATCGCTTGCCTGAATTTTAAATTGAGTGGAAAACATTATAAGCACAGTAATAAAATTAGAAGTCAGTACAGCTGATCCTTAGATTTTCTTTGTAGTGCAAATTTCTGGACTGATTCCAGCTTAACTCTAGAGGAAATTATTGTCAGTGCATTAATTTTGAAGTATCGGTCACATCCAAAAACACAACTTGTGAAGTTGATGTAATCTGATACACTTTAAGACCCATGGTCTCAAAATCAGTAAGGAATTAGACAAGAAGAAACATAAATATTTATTAGTTAAAATATATATTTAAATACATTTAAAATGCACTACCAGACCTTTGGATAAATGTGGAATATGTCTGTAATTTAATTAGTAGTCATTCACTTTGTGAATACAGAGAGTTTCATTTTTATTAACAGTATCAATAAATAATAATCATATGCCATCGTCAACTCTGACTTATAGCGACCCTTTTCAGGATTTTCCAGAGAGAGATTACACAGAAATGATTTACGACTCCCTTCTCCTTGGGGTGCCTTGAGACTGTTCAGCTTGCCCAAGGCTACAAAGGCTGACTCCTCTCCTTGGAAGCACAGTGAGGAATCAGACTCCCAACTGGACATGGACTATTCATATCCCTATTCCTGGGGATACAAATATGAATCACAGCACCACAGGTGCCACGAAGACCCATTCCCTTCCCCAGAACCAGCTGGTCCAACCAGCTGGTTGCCGCACAACTCTGGGATCCTTTGTCATCATCGTCATTCCAATCCCTGAAGGATACCGGCCAGCACTTCCCCACCTCCCTGTGCAGCCAATCACTCATCAGGTGAGCAGGGAGATTCCCCATCCTGCCTCTTTGCTAGAGTGGTCAGCAGCGTGGGGAGGCAGGGAAGCACTGGCCAACTTCCTTCTCAGATTGGCATGATGAGGAAGGACTCCCGTGCTGTGCCATGATCAGTTAGTGGACCAGCCAGTTCTCAGGGGAGAAAATAGATTTCCATGGCATCTGTCATATCATGATTCATATTCGTATCCAGGGATACAAATACAAATAGCTTATGTCTATACTCAACTTCTGGCTCCACAGCCAGGTACGTAAGTCATTGAGCTATCCACCCAGCTAACACCATTAGATACCGATTGGAATGTAAGAAATGAAATCCGGATGAATAAATTTGTCCATTCTGCCATATTTCAAAACAGAATCTAAAATATTTATTTGATTGACTGATTGATTGCAAGCACTATTCAGGGCAGTCTACGGGTTAAAAGCCGACATAATAACATACATTCAAACAATATGACAGTACACAACTATAAAGTCTAAAATTCATACAAAGAGGAAAAAAAGAAGAGGGGGAGAGAGAAAATTATAGCATTCTGGAGTTTCAGTTGTTGAAGGAGGCTTTGAATACAGTAATTCCATTTTTACCAGTTTCCTGAACATAAGGAGAGAAAGGAGCCTAGCATATCTCAGATTGATTTATTATTAATCAGTCCGATTTAAGAAGCGAGGACTATCTAAAAACACATTCCATTATTGTTCTGAAGGTAACCCATATAATTATAATAATCTGTTGCAGCTAATTCGTGTAACTTCAAATGCTGACATGCCAACCATTCCATATTAGGCAGTATTTGCTTTCTTTTACTGATTCTTTAAAAATTTCCATCTCAGTAATACTTTGAATGACTTACTTTATCTACAAAAATGTTGAGAGCTGCTGCTAGGAAAGAAACTGTGATCAATGAAGTTACTTAGTGTTGTTTAGAGTGGACCACAGTTACCATGTTGGCTGTGGTATAGTAGTTGAAGTCCAAAATACTGTATCTAGAAGTACAAGTGTCAAAGGCTGATCACCCTGCAAAGAGTAAGAAAAGCACAGACTCAATCTAGTATTCAGGCTAAGCAACTTCATTTATTCAAGTTCCCAGGATGATTTCTATGTAGGAATGTTATAAGTTAAGCATTTTCCCCCAAGTTTCACCATCCCTCCTGAAAAACAACAAAAGAGTTTGTACACCCAGAGTTCTTTTCACCAGCATGAAAGCAGGAGTTGCTTGAAGAAGAAAATGTCTCTTTGAAGCCAAATAAAAACAAATTCCTAGATATATTTATTCACCATGATAGGAGAGGTAAAGAAAACAGCTCTTTAAAGCCCTAAACCAAGGTGGCAAGGGCCTTATCCTCCAGGGGAACAGCATCTCCTGCTCTTTCTCACCTCAAATCTTGAATCTAAGGGCCTTATCCTCCAAGGGAACAGCATCTCCTGCCTCCCCTGCTCTTTCTCACCTCAAATCTTGAATCACAGCCCCTTACTAATACTTCTCTTCCCATTGGGCTGAACCAAATAGTCCACAAGGGTTACACAAGCTTTCCACAAAAATGAAACAATGGCCTCTTACTCTTCAGCCTCCAGCCTTTCTTATCTGAAGGAAAGTGCCAGATTCTATATCCGAGTGAAACTCATGCCGGAAATATGCTGTTCCACACAGAAATTCGAACAGTACTGCACAATGTGTTATTTTTTCCTGCTCTTTCCATATAAATAATGTCTAGGAAACTGCTTGTTATTTCTTCTATTCTTTTAAATGTAAATTCTATATAGGAAATACTGTATGCTTAATGTTTTTTCTGCCCTTTCCAGGCAAATCCTGCACAGAATAAAATACTATCCTGTGCAGAAGTTGTAAAAATGCTACATGGCTTGCTGTTTCTTTGGCCCTTCCCATGTCCATCCTGTACAACAAAGATGTAGTTTGGTGTAGGAATTGTAAAAATTCTGCTGAACTTGAAATTTCTCCCAGGAAAAAAATTACAATGAAGCTTCTGAAATTTCCTGTGATATTTGCAGGGTGGGGGTCTGCATAGAGAAATCTCACTGCAAGAAGGAAAGATTCACATCCCTGCTATGCCCTGTTCTTTTCAAGCAAACTGGAGCCATGATATTACTCACAGACCAATGACTGAGAACCTTTGGCCTCCCAGGTGTTGTTGAGTTAGAGTTCTCATTAGCCTCAACTATTATGGCCCACGTTCAGTAATTATGAGAGCTGCAGTGTACAAACAGGGAGAACACAAACTTATACTAGTACCCAGGTGAAACAGCTTCTCTTACTCTAGACAAGTAATTCCCAATCTTGGGTCTCCATATATTCTTGGACTAAAACTCCCAGAAGCCTTCACCACTAGCTGTGCTGGCCATGATTTCTGGGAGTTGCAGTCCAAGAATATTTGGTCTACTGAGCCCTTACCATGCAGTTATAATGGAAATATAAAAGTGACCAGAATAAACTATATTGCTTGGAAAAGTGGGATGAAGCAGTAGGAAAAGAGGAAGACCTAACACGAAATGGGTTGGCTCAACAGAGGAAGCCATAATGGTTATTTTGCACTAGGTGGGTGGCACAGAAATTTAATTAATTATTAGGACCTGAGCTGTCTTGAGCCGCAGTATTGCAGGAAGGGTAATATGTAAAAGAAATGAATAAACAACTAAATCTTTTTGAAGGAAAATTAGAATATTTGATCTTGATGCATCTTGAATTTGTTTATTCAGAGGAATATTTGTTATGCACATGTAGCAATAAGGTATCCATACATTGTAACAATGTTCAGCACATTGCAAGGGGGAAAAAAACCACATTATCCTCTAAGTTAATAGAAATGGAATTAGCGCTCTTCAGTGAGCGTACTAAATCCAATCATGTTGTCTGTCTTGATATATTTAATTTGTGGGTGGGGGATGGTGGATGTATGTCTTTGTAACAAGATTGCCTGAGCTAGAGAATAATGCAATTAAATGCATTGGCAGAGATAATGTTGTATAGTATATTTGATCGTGTATTTGATTACTTACTATTTAGCTTTCTGTTTCACACTTCAATAATATATTGTTTTGATTGCATAACTGGTATGCTATGAGTCATGCAAATAAAAGTACAAATGTATGTTATGAGTTAACTACAACTGTCCTTTGGATAGGATTTGGGTAAAATTTGCAGCTGACATGGCACTTCATTAGTTTCCTCACACACACGTGTGTGTGTTCAGATTTTCATTGCGTACATTTTCAAAGCTAATTTTTTGGATCTTGAATAGCTGGGCCACTTACCAGGCTCTGTGCGGCGCTCAGCTCCATCATCATTGTTGTCGCACCAATCCCAGAAGGATCCCAGCCAGCACTTCCCTGCCGCCCCGCACAGTTGACCACTCATTGGCTGAGTGGGAAGACTCCCCATCTTGCCTCTGTGACAAAGTGATTGGCTGCGTGGGGAGGCACTGGACAGGCTCCTTCTGGGATTGGCATGATGATGACAGAGCCAGGCACCATGCAGAGCCCAGTAAGTGGCCACCTCAGGCGCCTTGGTTCATATTTATTTCTCCAGGGAAACAAACGTGAAGTGTCCATGTATAATCTTGAGCAGTTCCTTCAGTAGCTCCTTCCCATAGAAGTTTTAAAACAGTATGAAGCAAGGTAATTCCAACAGTGTTCAATGTGGAAAAAATTACTTCAGCTTATGTATATTCATTTTTTCTCCAGGTATAAGCCACAGTAGATCCTCCTATTCCTGTATGAACCTGTGCATATATTAAGATTGTTAACTGAAACCCTTTTCCAGGTGTCCCTCCTATGGGAAGTTAGAAGAACGGCCACCAAGAATAGGCTTTTTTTGTTGTGGTACCTAAATTATAGTGTGTCCTCTTCAAATGTATTCTCCTTTTGCCCTACTTGCTATCCTCCATTCAGGACAACCTCAGTGGGACCAAAAGTCATATTTTAGATTTGCCAGAACCTGTAGGATACACTCCCATCTTATGATAGGAGACTTTAAGCTGTTTTTCAGCTTTAGTTAGTTGTGCAATAGCTGATCAGGTTTTTTCCAGATACCTAAAGAAGATAATAAAGAGGCATTTTTTTTAAATTATGCAAAATATGTGAAGTAGTACATGCAGAACCTGGTAAAATGTTACAGCAAGGAGTTGTTTCATTAACTACTTAAAATGGTTCCGGAAACATATATTTACACTTGGGAGAACATAAACCTTTTTCCTATCTAAGGATAATCTAATATGTTTAGCTGCTCTAAATGTCACACCACAGTCTGTTCCTGCCAATATGAATTCAGTTTTATCTGATAAAAGCTTATATCCAGTACTGGCAGTCAGGAAGCTAAGATACAGATTTTTAAATCTAGATATGAAGGACATTCTGGGAGAAAATGAATTTGCACTCGGAACTTCTTTGGCCTGGGGGAACCACTGTGCCTCCATTCCTTAGACTGTTCTTTTGTCTCAGGATCATAACAGTAGATCCATGTCTCATCACCAGTTACCAGTTCGCCCAGGAAATCTGACTCATTTCTTGCAAAATGTTCCAGAACAGCCACTGATGATTTTCGGTTTTTTGTTCGGTTGTCCAAAGTTTGGGGATCCACTTTGCTGCCAGCTTTCTCATTTTCAAGTCATGGATAATGGCACCAGCTTTTTCACAGGATATTGCCAGATATATAGCAATACTTTTGGCTGATATTCGGCCGTCCTCCATGACATATCATGGATGGCATTCACATTTGCAGACACAGAGACAGAAACAGGCTTTCCACTGGGTTTCTCACTTTCAACACCGAAATGGCCAGTTTTAAAATCGACAATTCAATGTTTAACTGTTGCATATGAAAGTCCATGGTTACCCAGAGTTTGTGACATTTCATCATGGATCTGCTTTGCACCTTTCCCTTGGAGAAACAGGAACTTGTTTATGGTCCTATGCTCTTCCACATTGAACTTTTCTGGAGGTGCTGCTATGTTCAGTTTGGAGCTGAAAATGAAAGATGTTAAAATCATAGGTAGTTGATTTTGCACCATTGAATATTGTGGCGGTCTCCTCTGAAGCCCCTATTCCCCCAGGCCTTCACGACGTTCTCGCTCTTCTTCCGTCTTCGCTGCCCCCAAGTATTGCTGTCTCAATACCATTCACTCAAGGAGACATGTGTACTTTTGAAACTTAGCTTATTTATTTGATCAGGGAGGGTAACATCTGATTCATATACAGTAGGTAAATCACAGGTTGCTAATCACTTGAATCTGAATCAGTACTACTGTTACTTTAAAGCTCTATCCACTCTCTGTACCATTCAGCTTCCTCACAGATCTCTCACTCACTATTAGTTCACTCTTAAGTTTCACACAGTCTCTCACTCCCAGAATCTCTCTCACTCACTCCCAGAATCTCACTCTCTCCCTCACTGAATCTCTCTCACTCACTGAATCTCTTTCATACCCCATACACCAGCCTTTATATCCAAACCCCTCCCCCCTTGGCACCGCCTTCCGTCCACTCATTGGCTCCTTCTCCACTGCTCAGCCGTGACAGACAGATGAGGGCAGGGCTGTTCACTACAAATATAAGCAAATTGGCCAACACACCCTGCAATTTATAGCCTCCTAGCTCAATTTTTTTCTGGGAAAAGCTCAATAATTTCCAGCACCCTCTCGTACCACACACTATTTTAGAATTTCACTTTTAAAATAGCAGTTTGTTTCAGCCTAGATATCAAACTACGGTATAACTCTGAATCAGTACATTTAGCCTATGGGATAAGCTAGATCATAGATTGGGAGGCCAGGCCTTTCCATAAGCCTTAAGCAGCATAGTTAATAGTAAGGATGGTGTGACCTGCAGTCCAGCAACAAATGGAAGGCCATAGGTTCTCATCTCTTAATTTGACAAATTATTTAAACTGGTAGGAAATTGCTGAATAAAACAGGCACCACAAAGTCTGTCTACACATGCTGATAATTAAAAACGTTTCCTTTAGTAGAGTTCCTATTTTGACTATCAGAATTATGGAGAGCATGTCAACATAGTTCTGCAAATGTAATTCCTGATTCAGTAAAGACTGGAAATGCCATCAAATTCCCATACTTCAGCATTGCAAAGGATCCAGCTGGGGCATCATTTAAATGTCAGCAGTATTGTTTCTAAAATGGGAGATATCTTCTCAACCTTATATATTCTCCGTCATTTTAGTGCAGCAGGTACTGATTGGTTAGAAGTCAATTTTGCTGAAAGAAAATTACTTCTCAATTCCTAGTGTAGGAGAATAGAATATATTAATTTGGTGCATGCAGCTTAATTTTGCTTTGCTTTGATTTCCTTACTGTTAAAAATCATTGCCAGATTGCAAGTCTTAGATTTTTTCTTTTTCCCTTTCTCTGTGGCAGGTTTAAGAGATGCTACCGGTTCTGAGAGTGATGGTGGTGACTCAAGCAGCACAAAGTCTGAAGGCGCCAATGGAACAACAGCAATCCAACCCAAAAAAGTTAAGGGGATTGGCTTTGGTGACATTTTCAAGGACAAACCTATAAAGCTACGTCCAAGGTCAATAGAAGTAGATAATGATTTTCTGCCAGTTGAAAAGGTACAGTTTGCAACTTTGTTCCTCACATATATCTGAACCTTCTCGGCTTATTCCCGAACTTTGGTTGTTGGTCTTTGTTCTTTGTGTTCTGCCATAGTCAAGAAAATGAACACTGGTTAAATGATTGATTGTTGCAATTACTTAGCATACAATATGCCACATGCATGCAGTCCTGTTCTTTTTTATCTCACTAAATATTGTAGAGAGGTCAGGCTGAAAATTATGGTAGTTTTACTACGGTTGTTACATTTATATTGCACCATGTAGTGGATATTACTGATATAAAGATCCATGCATCTCTTCCTTCCAATATATTGTGTTCTGGTTTATGCTGTACAGAAGGTGTTCCTGCTAAATTTTAGTATTGTCACGTTGTACAGCATGGAGTCTATGCTATCATGTTATGAACAGCAAGACAAACTGGCAACATCTGATGGACTCTAACTGGAAGGAAAAACAGCACCTTGGGATATGTTTGTTTGTTTGATTGATTGATTGATTTATATCCTGCCCATCTGGCCTAAAAGACCACTCTAGGCGACTTCTCAATCAGCTGTCTCCTCAATCAGCTGTCATTTTGTGCAGAGTTAAAATCTATGAAGAGTTACTAGGTGATACCAAATATAGGCTCTGTAGCAGAGAAGTGTGGAGTGTCTGTGGTTATTTTTGAGAACACTGATTTAAGAAAAGAAAATTAACTTGGTGAATAATAGTGAAAATGGCAGAAGGGAAACTCATAAGGGAAATATTATGATCAATGGAAAATTAGTAAAACAATGAAGAAGTTGCATTGTAGCTGTAGTAAGGGAGAATTTTGCAGCCTCAGGTTGTGATCAGACAACTGCAGAAGGGCAAGCCTGATCACACCACAAACTCACTTAAATGAAAGTGGTCTCCACCCAACCTGCCAAAATACCAGCCCTACAGCTGGACCAAAAGGGGGATGGATTGAGTTAGGTTGAAGTACTTTTCCTGTGTGTCATGTGATTGCTGCTCCACAAGCAGTTTAGATTGTGATCTATTTCCCTGTGTGATCACACTCTCAGGCCGAAATAAGTGGTTTAGTTAGCTGTAGCAAAAAAAGTCTTTCACCTCTCTTTTCTGTTACACATATTCATAAATGCTTGATTCTCTATCTTCAGATATCCGCTGAAATCCTGTAGGCATAGGTTTACCCCATGCAAACCAGATGGCATAATCATCTAGAGAGGGAAATGCTTAATTTAATTTAATTTAAAAATCTCCTCTCTTCCCAACTTCAAATTATGAGGCCCCTTAGGAATCCTTTTCCCCCCCGGGAAGCATTTTGGAAGCCTTGGGACCAGGAGAAGTTTTTCATATTGGAAAATCACCAGGGAATCATCACCACAGGCAGTGGGGCCACCAGCAGCAATACTCAAGAATGGTTAAACATTCCCTTCTTTGGGGGGCACCCTAGGACTGTGCAGCTTGCCCAAGACCACATAGACTGGCTCTGCTCACAGAAGGCACAGTGGGGGAATTGAACTCCCAACCTCTGGCTCCACAGCCACATAAATAAACTGCTGAGATATCCAGCCACGTGCCAGTGGAACTGGTAAAATCACTCCTTAAATATCTCACTTATCTTGAAAGTCTTATTAGGGTCCCTATACATTGGTTCAACCTTGATGGCACATAGCATCAACAATGAGTTAGTGACCTCCAAAAAAATGTTGTCATTAACAGCCCTGTTTAGTGGTGACCTCCTTAGCCATGACTTCTGTTCTGAAGTATCCATCTCACTCCTTTTCCTGCTTCTTTAAACTTTTTCCAACACTATTGTCTACACTTCCTGGTTTTCTTCACTGGCCATATAGGAATAAAACAGCATAGATGATCTTGGCCTTAGCCTCTAGTGACATAACCACACTGTTCTGAATCTTTTGTATTTTTATAGCTTCCCTTCCAAGCCTCAGTCTTCTCATGTCATGGCTGCAGTCTGCATTTGGATTGATCGCTGAATTCAGAAAATCTGTAATTGTTTTGATTTCTTTACTATCCACATTAAAGTTATGTAATTCATCTATAGTCATGATTTTTGTCTTGATGTTCAGCTCCGATCCGGTTCTTGCACTTGTTTTGCCTGTAGACTCATGTCTTTTGCCAATGGGAAACCACTCTGTCTCTCTGTATTCTGTACTAACCGTAGCCTCTTATCCAGCCCCCAGGTAGACTGAGTTTAAAACCCCTGCTCTAGTGACATACCCACACTGTTCTGAATCTTTTGTATTTTTATAGCTTCCCTTCCAAGCCTCAGTCTTCTCATGTCATGGCTGCAGTCTGCATTTGGATTGATCGCTGAATTCAGAAAATCTGTAATTGTTTTGATTTCTTTACTATCGACATTAAAGTTATGTAATTCATCTATAGTCATGATTTTTGTCTTGATGTTCAGCTCCGATCCGGTTCTTGCACTTGTTTTGCCTGTAGACTCATGTCTTTTGCCAATGGGAAACCACTCTGTCTCTCTGTATTCTGTACTAACCGTAGCCTCTTATCCAGAGTATAGTTTATGCATCGCAGCAATCAAATGTGACACACTCACTACTTTTACAAAAACCATAACTTTGGACTATCCGCACAGTCAAAAGCTTTGCTTTAAACTAAAGAGTTATTTTTTCTGAAATTCTTTGGTATGCTCTAGTATCCAATGTGTATTTCCAGTGTGATGTCTTGTGGCCTTTTCTTTTCTGGATCTGGCTTGAACATTTGCCACATCTTATTCCATATTTGGTAAAAATACTTTTTTTGCAAAATCTTGAGCAATACTTTCTTTGTATGGGAAATTAAAGGTCCAAGAATTACTGCACTCTTTGGTCTCTCCATTGAGCCATCGGAACTGTCAGTTCTCTTCTGCTGACTTGACTGAAAGCTGAAGAGGGCAGATGCATCTGAGACTGGTGCCTTGGCTCTGCCATTCCAGCTTTGTTGACTCTGCTAGTAGTCAAAAGTTGCAATGGAGCCCAGCCTCCCGAGGGCATTGCTCTTGGCTTCGTTGACATGGTCAGACCTCCTCACTGTGTTAAGGTGTGTATCAAAGAACGTGCATCTCCAGAATAGTTTTAATTATTTCGTCTTTTATTGGTTTTCATACCAAGAACACAAAAATTGATGTTGTCAATTGTAACAACTCAGTCTGGGCAACTATTTAGGTCATTGATATTTTGACTCAGCATATGGTGTAGTTGCACAGAAGCACTGGTTTCAGTTGAGAAATAAACAACACATCCAAACTGGTTTCTTTCTTTGAGGAAAAAAATACAGTTATTAATGCTGAGAGTGTTAAACTCTCATTGATATGTTTTCTGGGCAGAGTGCATTTAATCCATTTACTGTGTAAGAATGAGATTAAAAGCATGCAGACGACAGTTTCATATGTGATGAATTTATACAAAGTTGCTCTGTGTGTGTGTGTTTTAAAATTGCCAGATTAAAACCATATAAACAAAAATATTGTGTTACATTTGAGGCAACATAACACGCCTGTTTGGAAAAAAATCAATGCTAACTCATCCCAATCCTAGACCACCCACAGCCATTTATGGAAGGTAGTGGTAAGCAGTGGACATTCTCACTGAAGACAAGAGGGAGGAAAAGAAATTTCTTGCCAGTTTCCCTTGGTGAGGGAGGTAAATTGCCTCCTCCCTTCCTCCAGTGGGAATTTAAGGAGTGGAGTTGTACTCTCAGCTAGTCTTTATAAAAGGAAGATAAATAATATGCCTGTTCTATATAGTTATTTCATATTTTAAACAACCCAAAAAGCATACAGTATATTCAAAGATTTGTTGGTTGCTTTTTTGCTCCTTTCTGCAGCTGTGTTTCAGGGGGTGGCTGTTGCTCTTAGCATTTCATTTTTCATTCCTGCTTCCTCCAGATTTTATAAACATCTGATCCAAAAAATGCTACCCAGAATTCTAATGGTGTTCACAAGATAGTGTAAGTTGCCATGACTAATTATGGCTTATTGATATGGTGTCAAGGTGTATACAAACAGGTATAACACTTGGCACATGACTGTTGGGCCCAGCACTTTCTCCATTATCCACAGTTAGCTATAGCAAGTTACACAGTCCTTTTGCAAGGATTTCGGCCACTAGCAATTAAATGTGTTTCCATTTTCTTAAATTAAGGTTGGAAGACAATAGGCAGGACTTTCCACAGTCTCAGGCCAGCTGTAGTAAAGGCTCTGCTGCTATACAGCAGTGGAATAATTATCCGTGCCTGCAGTTGACACTTGGGCTGATATTGGAAAGGTAGCATTTGAGTTCAGACCATGCAAGTTGCAAAAGTTGACCAGTATCTTAATTTGGCACCCAAAGAAAAACAAGCTGAGAAGGCAATTGACATAAAGCAACTTTTATATGTACACCACTCAACCTTTCTTTCATTCTTTCTTTTTTAAGTGTGTGTGTGTGTGGGGAGCTACATTGTGAATCAGCTGCAACTTTTGAGTCATTTTCTGAGGTATTCTTAGGTAAAGTAGTGAAACCTGAAAAATAAAAATAAAAATGGAAGCATGTACCATCTGTAACCAGAGACTTGCAGACAATTAAAGGCAGTTTTGTCAGCAGCTCCTAAGTGGCTCAACTCCAAAGCTGTGGACTGTCTCATTCAGAGCAACTACACAGGGGGGGAAATGCAGGAAATACTGCTGGTTTACGGCAGACTGATTTCCTTTTTGTTGACTATATGATTCAAAGGAAATTAGACCAGAGTCCCCTCCCCCCATGCAACATTTCCCCTCTCCGCCTCCTACTTTTTGAAAAACCAAGTCTATTAGGACCAATTCAGGCATATGATATCCTGAACCAATGCAGAAAAGATAAGATGAGCTGTGTATATGCAAACACATACCCTTTCTCCCTCATCTCTTGCCTCACAAGGGGGTGAAGACAAACTGTACATGCATGCACAGAAACAACCCTTTTCTCACACAAAGCTTCTGTCTCCATGGGCAGAGAGGCAGAAGCCAGTACACA